TYRAAATYRTTAARATTTTCTCAGAAACCGATCACAAACCTAAAAGTTTTTAAGAAAMRACGCTCTCGTCTCGAAAGGCTTTAATAAATGRCTCATAACCAATGAGTTATAACTCAATAGCGCAACTCMACAGTGTTACCCAGGCCTACACTGCACAGCTGTATATATTGCGCTTCCATTCGAAYTTCCCRTCCGAYTTCTCYGCTCACATACWTRTAAATAATTTCACTCAATYGCTTYCGAWATTTGAGGATTTGTTCGCAGTTTAACTCGTTCACCCCCCGATCTCAATCGGAACATAAAATAGTGGGTAGTTCAGTTGAATCAGTGGATGAGCTACACTTTTGGGCACGAAAGTTCACCTCAGCACATTTGGGAGCCCGCATCATTTGTTCAGTGTTTAAAGTTCAACTCACTTGGGGCTGAAGAGTCCWWCTTGTTTCAGATTTAACCGAACCAGCGACCTCTTCAACGTCTACAGACCCCACAACTATCCCAACTGCTACTGAAACTCCCCCTAGTTTAGRTCCAGCYTATCCAGGGGATGTTGAGTACATCATTTCACTACTATAATGKAACAGCAAGCAGAGAATGYTCCAATTATTCCTTTAATTTTTCACGTGCGACTTAATCRAAATGTGTTCAATTCTCGCTGATATCGGTTCTTTCCAAACTRAAAAAAATAAAACTCAACATAAAACTGGRAATTTTCCACTACTGGGTGCTGCTCAAAACGCAAAATRTTTCAAGCGACGCGAGTATCAAGATTGAACGCAGTCACGCACAGCYATGATGCATCGCCCATAGACCCCCATGGGTGCGAGAGAGAAAACCGTGGCGAGCTGCGTTCTAAAATGACAATTGGCCATACAGAGGAATTTCCAGTTTTGAATGAATATTTTTGTAGCATAATAAAGCTGGAGAGTGTGGATTTTTTTGCATTAAATTCGCTTGAACGCGCCGCAGGACCGCTCTAAGGATATTTAATCGAGTTCTAAAATTAAATAAATGTTCCCCGCCAGGCAAAAGGCAGTAAACTCGAATGTTCCCAACAGCGCCTGGTCTGGGGCGAAAAATCATGGCACAGGTAATTTGCATCAACAGGCCGCAATGCGGATATTATCGAGGAACTTTGAAAAGTTTAAGTGGAAAAGTGTGTCGATTCTTCCCCATCTATTAAATAACGTCCCCTGCTCCAATTTCCTCCCCCCGACCCGCCGTTTTGCTAAAACCACGCCAGTTTTCGACGCTTTAATTGGTTGCGCGACAACTTTTAATTACTGCACATTCCTTGCCTGGAAATAGGCAAATTTGCCGCGAGGGAGGACGAAAAATGATTGCGACAACCCAAAACCACACAAAGACCCTTGAAGACTTTGCCTTCATTAATCGGTACATTGGCCCGTAGGTATAGAAGTTTCACTGAAACTTCTGAGTTTTTCCAGTGTTTAGGCACTGGGGAATATAAAGTCTTCCTGATGTGCTTGCAAATGTTCCACTATAGCGCGGCCTAAAAGCCAGTTTGAATGGATTTTTTGGAAGTATGTTCTAGAACGTTTCAACAGCGTAGTAAGTAACTTTCAACAGCGGTTGGTCGATTTTCAGAATTAATTGCGTTGTGTTTAGGGCAGGCTGGAACATGAAACTCACTTCGCATTCCGAAAGCTTGACTTTGCCGATCATCCCGTGACAGTATAGTAGGCCATTTTTTGACAGCGCTATGTTATTGCCGCCACACTGGCAGGCCTATAAGCGCTAAATCGCCGGTTGTACATGTGAATGTGAGCCTGGTTTTTGGACAAGTGAAGACACTCTATCCAGAGGATCTGAAGAGCGAGTAGGAAGACATCAAGTTGGGTTCAGTTGCGACTGGATTTTGCGGTGGAAACACATTTTGCGATTTCTGCCCGTAATTTGCCCGGGAAAGGGAAACTTTCGCTCAAATCTAATAACGCCGATTCTTCCCCAGAATCCGAAACTTTATAATATCGGTAATTTTGCGCCGACATCAATCATCCCTCTCGTATAATATTAAGGCTCCACGACCGGGAACGGGGGAAACAGCGGCAAAAATTAGGGGCAATTGAACTGAAAGCCCTGCATACGTTTAATGGTGGCTTGATGGAACAATTGCGAAAATCAAGTGTTCGTGCTGGAGGATTGTTTAACAATGGCATTTTTCGCCGTACTGGATCGATATGCCATTGTTTCTTTCCGGCAGTTCGTCGCAAATATCGGCGACCATCAATCTTAAGGCAGCCTTCACACCTTCTGCTTGTCTGGCCAGTGACAGCGCTTATAACCAAAAAGGTAATTAATAGTTGTGCAGCTGACGCTCGCTTTTTGCCTCCTTTGTTTTGATTCGCAAACGTATCGTATTTGCGCTGCTTGAGGTTATGAGATAGAACCGATAAAGTCCACAAAATGGGCTTGCAAAAATTCAAGCAAAAAGGAGCGGCAATTTTAATTTAAAGCGCAAATTGCCACACGTGTCTAAACAGATCATTTACTAGTTCCAGCCGTCCAGGGTTCATGTGAAATCCCAAACGGAAAACTATTTGGTTTCCTCAAAAACTTCCGGAATCGGTGGATTGTACATCCTCAATTACTTCTTTGCTAATCGCGCTCTAACTCCAAATTTCCGAGATTATTTGCGATTTTTTTACGCAAGCCAAAACGCTTTTTTCGCTATAAAAACTTGCGCTGTTTAACTTGCTGCACTCACTAAGACCATGATATTTTCGTTTTAAAAT